AAACAGGAAAGGTCTGCAGCACCATGTAGGTCAGCTCCCTTGCCAGGGATCAAACTCATACTGCAGTGGCTGCAGATAGCTTCAGAGTGCTGCACTTTAACCCCTTGTACAGAGAGGCCCAAATTCTTCAATATATTTAACCTTTTATTGCTTTTGTTTTTGTTTTAAGAAAGAAAAACTGTTAATGAGTTATCATAGTTACCACAAAGTGCTAGACAATTTCTAACTAAACTTCACAGCGCTCCCTTATAAACAAATGTTAACCAGACTCTGGAGCCACATTTTTGGCTCTACGATGTGATTTCCTAACATTTTTTCTTTTAAAGATTTGTTTATTCATACAGAACTGGGGTACAGGCCAGAGGTGCAGGGACAGTGAGAAGATTCACCAGAGACAGAGTAGGGAGCAGAACAGGCCTACTGACGAAGTACACTGCTGAGAGGAGCAGCGGGCTGGTCAGGAGAGGTCTGCCGCGCCATGTGGATCACCTCCAGAGTGGGGATCGAACTCATGCTGAAGTGGCTTATAGTTTCTTAGTGCTGAGCTTTAACCCGCTGTACCACTAGAGAGGGCCCCCTAACATATTTATAAGCGTTAAACAAATATCTGAAATTTTGTAACAATGTAAATAGGATGGGAGTACTTTTTTAAAAATAGGTAACAATTTTAGGTTATTGTAGTAAAATTCATATAACATAAAGTTCACTACTTTAACCATTTTTAAATATATAATTCAATGGCATTTAGTATATTTACTATGTTGTGCAGCTGTTAACCACTGTCTAGTTCAGAACATTTGTATCACCCCAAGAGGAAACCCTGTATCCATTAAGCAATTATTTACTCCTCATTTTCTGAACACCCCTGACAGCCACTAATCTGCTTTCTGTCTCCATGATTTTGCCTATTCTGGATATTTAATAGAAATAGAATTATACAACCTGTAGCTTTTGTGTCTGATTTCTTTTTCTTTTTCTTTCTTTTCTTTTTTGTATATATTTAAAGAGGAACTTTATTAGAAAGAGACAGGAGAGAAAAAACAATTGCATAGACACAAGTGGGCAGAAAGAGCTGCCCTAGAAGGGACAGGATTGCAGGGAAAGAGACCTGCATGGTTGCAGGCGGGCGGTCTTAGGAGAGCGGCCTCTCCTGAGGGAGGTCAGTGCAGAGGAGTCCCGGCATGGTACAGATCACTGGCAGGAAGCACCTGCATAGTCACAGGTGGGCAGAGGAGTGGCTGCTTGTGTCTGATTTCTCTCATGGCATAATATTTTCAGAGCTCATTCATAATGTGGCGTGACCAATACTTCACCCCTTTTATAGCAGGATAATATTCACATGTGTATATGTATTTGACATTATGTTTATCCATTTATAGGTTGATGTAATTTTGGCTATTATAGAAAGTGCTACTATAACCATTCACCTACAAGTTTGTTTTTGTTTTAATAAATGTTTCCATTCTTTGGGTAAATACCCAGAAACTCAATGCTCAGTCTTTTGGTAATCAATATAAAACTTTCCGAGACACTGCCAACCTATTTTCCACAGAGACTATATTATTTTACATTCACACCAGAAGTGTACAGGGTTCCTATTTCTCCTCTTCCTCATCAATACTTACATTTTCAGTTTGTTACTATAGTTATCCTAGTAGGTATGAAGTGATATGGTGGTTTTAATTTGTATTTTTTAATGACTAATGATGCCAAGCATCTTTTATATGCTTATTGGTCACTTGTATGTCTTTAGAGAAATGTCCATTTAAGTCTCTTGACCTTTTTTAAAAAAGGGTTTTACCTTTTTTGTTGTTGTTGTCAGAGTACTTTATATATTCTGGATACTAGATAATGAGCATATATATTACTCTCAAATATTTTCTCCCATTCTCGGTATAATCTTCTCTCTGATAATGGACTTTTTAATTTTCATGTTCAATTTATCAGTGTTTTTCTTTTGTTACTCATGCTTTTGGTATCATTGCTAAGAAACCATTGACAAAACCAAGATTATGAAGATACATTTCTGTATTTTTAGTTAGTTTTGTTTATGGTATGAGTTAAGAGCCCCATTTTCCTCTTGTCCATGTGGCTATCCTGTAGTCGCATGTCAAATGTTTTTTTCTTATTCGTGAAAGATGTTGTCAATACTTCTGCATCAATAGAAATAATCTTGTTTTTCTTCTATGTATTAATGTATATAGTAGTTTCAAAGAGCTGTCAAAGCAAGCTACCACTCGTTGAATGACTTAAAATAGCAGACATTTTCTCTCAGCACTTGAGACTAGAAGACTGAGACCATGGAGACTGTCAGGAAGAATCTGATGTATGCCTTTCTCCTAGCTTCTGGTTGTTGTTATAATTCTTGTCATTCCTTGGCTTATAGATGTACAAGCTCAATCTGTTTTCATCTTTGCATGGCATTTTTTCCCCTATATTTCTGTCCAAATTTCCTTCTTCCTATAAAGATGTTAAGTCATTGCTCTAGGACCTACCCTAACCTATAACGACCCCACCTCAATTTGATTATATCTGTAAAGCCCCAGTTTTGCAAGTACCCAAGTTAGGACTTGAATGTTCATCTTTTGAGGGTACACAGTTCAGTCAAGTACATGTGATATAGTACGTTGATTAATTGTATTGTGTTTAACTACCTTGTATTTCTAAATTAGACCCCATATAGTTATGGCATATAATCCTTTTAAAATGAGGCTAAAGTTAGTTTGCTTATATTTTGGTGTGGGTTCTTTTACATCTTTGTTTATAAAAATTATACTGGCCTGCCCATTTTTATGGTATCTTGGTCTGGCTTTGGTTTCAGGGAAATCCTGGTTTCATAGGATGAGTTAGGAAGTGTTTCTATCTTTTGAAAGAATTTGAAAACAAGTGACATTGACTCTTCTTTAAAAGTTGTAGAATTTACCAGTGCAGTCATATGGTCCCAGGTTTTTCTTTATTGGGAGATTTTTTATACCAATTCAGCATCCTTACAGAAAATTTTAAAAGAGTAGTACAAATAATTGGTATCAACAAATGAGGTAACCTAGATGAAATGCAGAAATTCCCATGACACACACTACTAAAATAACTCAGCAAGAGATGAGAAATTCATTCATGGAATAGTTCTCATGCCACCTGCCCCATAAGTCCTTCCTATTCCAAACCCAGAAATCTAGTGTCGCCACTTCCTCTGAATCTTTGTAGCCTATTAGTCCCCTCTCATAGGTACTTAATATCTTTATGCAGTTTTTTCCTTCCCCCTACTTGCTGAGCTGGGGAGAACTTGAGGGCTCAGCCTTGTAGCCGTCCTCATCCACAGTGTGCTCAGGGCAGCTGGTGTACTGCTGGAGAGTCAGGGTGGGGCGTTGACGAGCAGAGGTGGTGATGAAGCACTCAGCCCTTGGAGGAGTCAGCCTGGAACATGCAATCAGAAAGCTATAGGGCCATCAGATACTTTCCTTTCTATTCTAATCATGATGTATTATGTGTAGCCTTTAACTATGAAGTCTGCCTATTGCAAATTATTACACAGTCTGTATTATTGTTTTGAATTTTGTCTCATTATTATAATCATTGCTGCCTTTAGTGTATACCTGATTGTTAGTCCAGGATCCTCATGTCAACCAGGAGTGCAGTTATTAAATGTGGAACTTTATTAAAAGATAGAATTCCACACCTTCATCCCAGGTCTGCTGGGAGGTGGGATGTGGGCAGTGTAGATTTAAAGATTCTACATACATTGCATAAGAGAAAATGGGTAACATTGATGACCTTCAGGGGAAAGGTAAGAGGAGAACTTTTTTTTTTT